ACTGTAACCGGGTTTTTACGTACCCTGGTATGAAGGGGTGGGTCACGCAAGATGGTGTGACCTTACAAGATTGTGGGCTACACAGACGGTGTAATCACACAATAGTGTGACTAAACTTTAACATAAAGTCAATACGCGGCTGGATTGCCAGTAGTTATGCATTCTAATTAGGTTTCACTATTCAATCAGGATAACCTATAAATTCAGATATAGGCGACTTTGTCGCAAATAAAGCCAAGAAATACAGTCTAAATTTGAACGAAAGAGGTTATTTCCCTTGAATTAAGGTTGTGCTTATTCTTGAAGTAAGCGGATTGCGATCCGCTACACTCATATTGGTCTTTAGTATCACCGACCTTAGCTAAGCTTCCTGTAAGCGAAACAGCAACGGCAGCCCCGCTTCAAAAACGGTGAACACGCGATCACGTGCGAGATGGAAGACCTTGCCGTACTTTGTCGAAAAAAATAATTGAGATACCCCAGCAAGTCCTGATATGATTCATTAGACTTGTAACTTCGACAATTTTCCTCGCGCACTGTAGTTGTTGCTTGCACTCTGACCTCGTCTGAGCATCTTCGCATTGTCGACATGACTCGTGCATGTTTTCACCCGGACGTCTTGACAACGCATCGGCTAAGAAGTTTGTCCTGCCTGGCTTTGTATTGTACAATAAAGTTGTATTCCGCAAAGAAGAGGAATTTTGATTTGTTTTCTGCGTAAATGAGGAGTCTTCACTGTCGTACGCAACGAGGCATGATCCGTATAGCCCACAAAGCGCTCCTCTTTGTGAAAACACATACAAAACTTAAACAAAGCATACTTTATTGCTCAAAGATCTTTGTCACGAACGGGACAGTTTCGTTTTGCGGGCCAGTTGTGCCGCGAAATACTCGCTCTCGACCTTCGTTATCCTTTTACACTAATGTACAACCGATCACATAATCTCTTCCATCGCACACCACACAAAAAGGCTTATCGCGGTTTGCAGTCGCTTGACAGGTGTTCCTCGCGGGATCTTCTTTACTTCAGCAGATACCGCTTCGTGATCTCTTGACCATTCCCATTCAACGTTTGTCTCTCTGAAATTCGTTGGGGGTTGCGCAACGCTGAAAAATTGCGCGTGTATATGTGCAAATAGTTGACCAAGTCGAACCATTGTCTCAGCTGTTTCACATTGTTTGACACAGGCCAATCACTAATAGCTTTGACTTTCATCGGACCTATACAAATGCCATGTTTGCCCACGAAGCAGCCGAGAACGGAGATTTCAGGTGCAAAGAAAGAGCACCTTTAGGTTGGCGGTATTCTCTCGCATAACTTGGAAGACTTGACGAAGATAATCACGATGAACATTGACGTCAGACTACTCACTCCTTCTTTTAATATGAGAAAAAACATTGCCAAACTAACTTGGTGCAAACTCTCTCAATGGATAAAGAAGAATCGTGACCATTCTGTTGAAAGGTGCGGGAGCGCTCTTTAAACCTTATAGCGTCACAAACCATTCCCACAGCATACCACTGGGAGTGCTGACTACAGTTAATGGTGTATCATTTTTTGCGCATTCGTATTTGATAGAAAACATCTTTCAGATTGATTGCAATGAAAAAGGTACTGTCAATCATCCCATCAATGATCACATCCATTCGCGTGACCGGAATTTGGGCAGGTATGGTCACATTGTTCAATTTGTTGGTAGCGTGAAAAAAGCGCAATTCACCTGTGGTTTTCTTTACGATAAAGGTTGGACTACAAAGGAGATACTTGCTTTCACGCACATGACCAGCTTACTCCGTCACGCAAAGAGCTCGTCAAATGCAATAATTTGTCAACGGCCACTGCCATGTGATACAATACTACGTACCAGGAAGTATGTCAATCTCATGACCAAGGCCTCTCTCAAACGGCAGGATGTCTGACACCTTTTCTGGTAAAAATCAGCATATTCCTTACTGGTCCATACACAGGGTTTGTATCTAAAGCTTTCCACGACTGTTCATCAAACCCCTCCTTCCGTGTCATCTCATACGATACTTCCGAAGCATTGATGACAGCGTCGACTGCTTCGTCGACGATCGCATATATTTACAAAATTTTGCTATTTGCCAGGCTACGCTTCAGCGTCTTCTCATCACTGGAAGCAAAACATTACTTTGACCGAACTTGGAGATTTTAATTTACAAATGACATATAACATCGACGTCACCTTCGTTATAAGCTACAACATTTACAAAATCGCTTGAAGTGTCTTGTTTTTGAGCACTTCCTTCATCAATAAAATTTTACCTTATCCAGGGGCACGCAAAATACTTGACAGAAACCCTTCTTGGCGGTCTTCTTATTTTTTTCTCGTGATGGGTCATTGCCTCTGACCCCACTATTCTTCATACTATCATCGACTATTACTTCCATGTCGATAGCAAAGATGATAGTCTTTTTTGGCGCCTGACTGCACCATCTCCAGTTGGTGACTTTACTTTCGTCTCCTTGGGCTTGTCTTGAGAATAAGGGGCTTCGCACACCACAATACCACTTGGGACATCTGTGACTTTTTCAACAGCTACCTACACCCATACTATTTTGTCCGTCGTCATGCAGCTCAAATTAGCGCTGTACATCTTGTTGCAGATGATCTTGCTGCATCCAAATCGACAAACCACCGTTAGAGAGGCCCGCTCACTCCACCACGGTATAAAAACACGTCCAGCCCCAGAGGCATCGCTTTATATGTTGAAACAGGGTTGCGACCTGCTCACGAGATTTCATCATCTTGTCATGCATAAATGTGATGACTGCATTCTTTTCATCATCCGGATGAGAGGTTTGCATTAACTGAACAGTAGTTTCTCTTATGACTTCTCGCATTCACATGAGTGCCATCCACTCATGTGAACAGAAATGAAAAAAAATTCATCAAACCTCAGTCTGCGGTACTGGTGGACCGAGTGACACCCCTATTACCTCTCGCTCGGACAAGGAGAAGAGAGTAGTTTGGACTGAATTGCGCGAAGTGCTCTACAGCCGCGTCGTCAAGCCAAAATTGAGTGTCGTTGGAAAGACCGCTCGAAGTGCTACAAGATGTAAGATATATAAACATTCCCTCAAGCGCAACACACACGCTTGTGCGATGAGGAAGCGACTCCCAGAGTAGAGGGAGAAGGACAGCCCCGACTTGGAGGGGAGAAGACCGACTTAACACCTTAAAGGTAAATTTGCAACCGAATTAAATTGAGTTATGGCTCCTAGCTACATGCAGAACACTCCAAGAGCGCCTTTGGGGCTCCTAGGGGCTCTACTTATAAAACCTTGGGTTCCTGATTTTTGAAATTAAGCTGAACTGAGGTTGAACCTCAATTTGAACATATACAAGATATTGGGTGTACGGAGCTTGATCTTCGAAACGTGAATGGTTTACGTCTCCCATTTCGAAAGCAGAGACACGTCGGCCTCGTCAATAGTACAAAATCCAAGAAGGAACCAGCATTTTGCAGCACACATACTGCTTATGACTTCATATAAGATGTCACGTACGCAATAGGAACGTCATACTGTAACTTCCTTTTCTATATATTCCCACATTACATACAAAAGAAGCATAGATTTACCTTCATGTCGTAGCCCATTACAATGCGCCAATACCGCAAATGCTTGTTCCACCTTGTACGTTCCAAATCATCTCCAAATTAACTAAAAAGCCCTGGTTCTCCGCGACTGAATACCAACGGCCCTCACAATCTCCTCATGCGAAACCTTAACTGTCAACAAGCTCAGGTTTTTGTAGGCGCAACGTTTCATATCAGAATGAGGGAGTCAACAGCCGGAAATCAATATAGCAGGAGCTTCGGCTTGAACTGAGAAGTGCTGTTAAATGTAGTTTCCTTTTACTTGCTTGCGCTGTTATGTTAGGTAAAGACTTGTGAGATATCTGGCAAAATGGGAGGTGTATTAATATTCATGAAGGCAACTGCACGACAATTCTGTCCTGATACTGCACAAGTACGGCCTTAAGTTCTTTCCTTGTATTCCTTATGATCCAATCATATGTAAGAGCATCTTCTCACAAATGTTCAAGAGTATATTCAGATGCTAATATATATCATCATTCGCTCAACATGAAGTACCAATAGGATATAAAATTTGATTTACATCAAATGACGGTACGTTGGCGTCCAGCACACAATAGACTACGTTTTGCCACTGCTTAAGTTCATGGATCAATGGCAATGAATATTCAACCAGAAAGCGAATGGGATGCACTTGTTTGTGTGCAATTTCTTAGAATCTCAAACGGTGTAGCGTGCAATATACGCTTTCATTGCTTTTATGGTCTTTCAACGTTTAGTGTTGACTCAAACGAGGCCTGTGTAAGCATTGAAGACTGTTGACAAGAAGGCTTTTATTAGCTTCGTACTCATTTTACTTACAAAATGCATTATACTTATCAAAAATCTCATGCACGTCTTGAAGCATTGGAATGGAAGAATCGACTTCATTTGCCTTATCCTAGCTTCTAAATGAATCTTAGCGCGATGAACGGGTAGTGAGACGCCGCATTCAGTTGTTTTGAATATTGTAACCACTCGCCTAAGTCGACCGCTTAACGTCCAGGTGTTGATGCTGCTCTAGATAATCGTGTTGCGAGTCTATCTACGTTACGAAGTCGTGCTCTCCCTATAGTGGTCTTTAGCTTTGGTCGTACAACTCAGCGTCACACTTAACAAGGATGAACAAGTTCAGCAACTAACATGTCTTGAGACGACTATCTCTGCAATAAAGTACATACAATATGAAGGACACGACGCGTATGAGGTTCGCGGTGTAAACTTTCAACGACAGTGTTTAGAGCTTGTCGACTTCGTACTTGAAGAAATTTTTGGCGCAATCGTTAGTCAATCACTGAAAAACGCGACACAGCTCTTACTCCGGATAGATGAGGCTCGTATTGTGCTACATCTCAATGTAGATAAACCATCATTGATTTTATGTTTGAGTTTACAAGATGCATCCCATGCAAGAATTACTACAGGCAAGCACTATCCTACAACTACCGTGCATCACGATGGATCTCCAGGGCTCGAATGAAACGTAATTTACATGGCCAAAAAATTACCCCGTGCCATAACTCGGTCCTAAGACAGCGTTTCGTTTCGCGTTAATTGCAAAGATCTTTTTCTTGAACAGGTTCGGATATATTGCACGACTCAAAAGCCAAAGATTTTTAACCAAGAGATGACTTGTAGATCTCATACCACAACCTGCGAATCTGTATATTAGGATTAAAGAGCTTGTGTCATCTGTCATCTCGTTAGAGAAATCAACAAATGATATTCTTCCGCAATTTATCGTCCATTCAGTGTTGCCATCATTAGAAGTGCAGATTTCACGCACAAGTTATGTAGGAATAGTGGCGCTTATACTGAAGAATCTCGGTGCGGACAAGTTGCGAAACACGCTGTCAGCATCTTGCGAGAGCGAACGTACGTTGAGAAAAATTGCATTACATTGTCCGTAGTGCCGTATACATATCTTCAATCAGACTCAGATCAAGTGACTCTCAAAATGTAGAAATATTGGGATCTTGCTGTTTCAAGATGAAATTCGTCCATGCCTTCCGCATCTTGTAAAGACGGACATACTTTCCCTTCACACGCGTTCGCGGACTTCATTGCAACCAATTTACCGACAGTGCTTGATGACGAGGTAAGATTTCCTGTTATCCGATCGCCTTTAGTGCACGACACCTGATGGGAAACTACAGTGACGATGGACACTGTAACTTTTTAATGGCTTCTTCTGAGTCACTTGAAATGCAACATACTTGGAATTGTGCGGCCTCAACTGGAAACTTGAAACTTGACTCAACTCTACTAAAAGCCAAGGGTACAGTTTGCTTGGAACCACTGCTTAGTACTTTTCTGCTCTACCGTCAAGTTTAGATCAGCTTGAGACCGATGACGAGAATATTTCAAATGAATCTTTGCCTTCTTCAGCTCAGAGTATTCAGTCGTCTTCGTTAACACGAAAGGAAAATATTTTTGATAGGAGCAAGAACACCGAATTGACAATGATAATTCGTTTGATGGCGATACAAGTTAGCGTAGCTCTACCACGTAATGTGTACGACCCCAAGAGTCCAAGCGTAGTGTGTTCGGGTGATTTACATTCGAATATGTCTGGACATTATGAGCAAAGCTTAATTTGATGCACTACATGAAATTGTTCTAGAAATTGCCAGTCGCCCAGGTTGTAGCGTCGCATTGCTTTCTAAGAATGGCGAATATAATGCTTTCGATGTGGCGCCGCTGATCCAACTCTTTGAGCCAAGCTCCTTGCATGTAGAAGTAGTACAAATGTTTTCCCATACAGGACAGCTGCAACAGAATTTTATCGCTTGAAATCACCCCAAATCAAGTTTACGTTTCATATGAAGACGTATGTATGGGTGTAGAGACGATTGAAGCATGATGTAACGCATTTGGGCAACATTAACAACGAAGTGCCGATCAGTCGTGACATGAAAATGATCCATTTATCAGTCGCTGACAATATCGCACACGTTGTCCAAGTAATTTACGACTCAAAATTTGAGAGAGACAAAGTTTCATCGATAAATAACATGCGAGTTACATTTCGTGAGTCCGAATTGGTAAACGACTGCGACGGGTGTGATATGGGCCTTGTACAGCTTCCAATTGAGCAGAGCCATGTATTTATAAGCGTCACAAAAGTAGACAGTAATTCCACATAGCTTTTGAACAATAAACGATAATTTGTAGGCCTCCCATTTCTGTTTCTGTGACGGTTGTACCTCGTTTATTCACCGGGACTCAACGTTTCCAACCGACAGCACGACCCTTCAGATGTGTTAGTTGTATGGAAGGCGTGATCATAGCCCAAATATTATATATTTCCATCGGTGTTGCATTTCCATATTTTGCGGAGTGGCCGTCAGCCAATCCTTCCCGATTTTCTTCTGCAGCATGGCTAAATTCCATCATCTCCAAAGATCTTCTATCTTTTGTACCTTGACCTTGAAACGAAACGAATGTTGTACGCCAAGTCTGTTAGAATGTGATGGTAAAAGAGCAACTGATGTATTAGAACCAAGGCATTCTCCCTGCACCTATCTCCTAGAATTTGCACCTACCGAGACCCCCCGAGGCCCACAGAAACCCCCGCGAACCCTTAGGCCACTTCAACCGCCAACGGCCATCTGTATAATCGTATCCAGATCCGTTTCCAGCATGCCTTCCTCGAGGCCCTCAGTTCCGATTGTCATGCGGCTGGTTCATCACCCCTATCATACCACACAGCTTGTCTAGTCGAACCTTATCGAGTGGCTTGGTGAACGCATCAGCTAAGTTATTTTCTCCCATTACCTTCACGAACTTAATCAGACCACACTGCACCTGGTCGCGCACAAAGTGCCAACGCAGCACGATGTGACGCGTGCACAGCGAATAAGTCGGGCTGGTAATCATCACGTGTGCCGCACTATTGTCGATACCAATAACCGGTCGCACGTACATAGACGGGGATATCTCAGACAGGATATTAAACTGCGCTTTCGCTTTTATAGCAGCTTCGCATGCAGACACATGCTCAGCCTCAGCCGTGGATTGAGCGACAATCAACTGACGCTTGGGCATCGAACCCGCTCGTGCTTATCCTGGTCTCGGGGTCACCTCCCCCATCACTATCACAGAACCGCTCAGGGTAAGCTCCGAACGGGCCCCTGATGCCTTTTTGTACATAGTACCGTGCGCCTGAGTGCCCACAATGTATCGTAGGACGCGATTGAGCGTTGCCACATGCTTCTCAGTCGGGTTCACAACGAATCTACACAACTGGCCGAGTGCAAATGCTAGATTCGGCCTGGTTCCGGTCGCGAGATACATGAGTATGCTCAATACTCCCCGATCGTCAAAGCTGGAGTCGAAGCTGTCGTCCTCCGTAGCTGGCGCGAGTCTCGGGGGTTCCCACACTTGCTCGTTCGCCAAAGCCGAGCTTGTACAGCACGTCCTTTGCATATTTCTCTCGGCTGATGAACACGCCCTCCTTGGTTTGAATCACTTCGATACCCAGAAACTCAGTCAACCTCTCATGGTCCTC